GGAGGGGGGGAGGCAGGTTTTCTTTGTGTCTACACCCCTCCCCTGCCCTGGGACATCCACAGCACCACATCCACACACTGCACACGCACACTCAGCCACCTGAACATCCTTCCGATCCTCGGCAGGCAGGCAACAACTGTCCGCCTTGGTCCACACGGCGCGCATTCATACCTGCAAACCCACTGGTGCTCATTCACTGCCTCCGGCTTCACACACGAGCAGCCTCTAAAGTTAGGGGCCACCCACGTCATCCCCCTTCCCCAGAGACTCTGATCTGGAGGAATGATGGGTCAAGGTTTGTGGCTTAGACAGTCTTGGGACCCAAATGCTCATCCAGACTTCGGCTCACCTTGAGGCAGGGTCTGGAAATAGAGACCGGCCGCCGTCCGTGCCCGCACCTGGAAGCCATAGATGTGGCCAGGGCTCAGCCTTGTCACAGTGGCAGTGTTAGTCTCGCTGGTCATGGTGAAGGAGTGGGACTCGTCTTCCGCCTAGAGACAACGGCCATTCACTCACTTTGTCCCTGCTTCTTCTGTCTGTCTTCCCCTGTGACATCCCTGGTGCCTCCTGGCGCGCTCTCGGCGCTTCCCCTTGCCCCACTCTGTAGCAATGCTCTTGTAGGGTTGGGGTTGTGGGGGCTGAGAGCTCTAGTGAGCCCTGCCGAGGCGCCTGACTCTCTGCCCACCTGGTCATAATAGCGCAACTGGTAGTCGAGGATGTTCCCATTTGTCTGCTCAGGCTGCGGCCAGGACACTGTGATGCTATTAGCTGCTCGGCTCACCTGGTGCATGACAGGGACTGCAGACGGGACTGAAGTGCAGGCAGAGAGGAGGGTTATTGTTGGGGGGGGGGGGTCTCTGGGAGCAGCAGCAGCCGAGGGGGGAGAGGATGGACTTGAGAACATGGTCTCTGCTGCAAGCTGACTGGAAAGCAGGCATAGGGAAGAGGGGATCTGAGGAGCCGAAGCAAGCTGTCCTCAAGGAGAAGGAAAAGGGTGAGCTCACCTTCATGGCTGGTGCTGACATTGATGGCTGTTGCCTGGGGAGGGTCAGGGCTGAGCTCAGACACCCCATTGACAGCCTGCACTTCCAAGATGTATGGCACGCGTGCTCGGAGCCCCCCAACTAACACTCGACTCTCAGTCAGGCCCCTCTGGCGGGGGTCGAAATGCACCTCATCCCTGCAGCGACGACATGTCCCCCCACTGCTGGACTCCCGGTGGCCTCCGCACTCCTTGCACACAACATTGAAGAGCAGGTCCCCTCGTCCACCCAGCTCCTGAGGCAAGCGCCAGTGCAGCATGAGTGCTGACCCTTGTACCTCAAACCAAAGCTCCCTGGGAGCAGATGGGGGGCCTGGAAGGGGTGAAGAAGGGTGGGGATTGTGGGGGGGGGAGTGGAGAAAGAGGGAAGTGTAGGGGAAGAGACCAAAAAAGAATGCAAAGTCATTCCAAGTGAGCTCCAACGCCCTTTATCCCCATTATTAAATTAGGTCCCCCAAATCCTTGTCCATTCCCAGATTTAATGTGTTGAGCTGAGACAAGGACTCACCAGTGCAAGGGGCCTCTGGTGGATCAGAACTGGCCCTGTAGAAGCCCTGGAGACACGGGCAAGCCGGGGCTGCAGGATCAGGAGAGTGGCTGCGAGCTGGACATGGTGAGCAAGGGGCATTGCCAGCTAGGGCCTTATAGGACCCCTCAGGGCAGGCTACAGAGCAAAGGTGAGAATGTGGTGTCATGTTTACTTCATCTTCCCACCCTGAGTTTCTAGTCACCTATACAAGGCATCGGCCATTCCCCAGAGCTGGTTCTTGGTCCTGAGACCCAGTCTCCACCTGCTGTCCCCTGGTGCACAGATCTAGTCAGTCAGGGGACAGAACTCATTTCCACTTATAAAAAGTGAGGTATGCAGGGGCTGGGGGCAGTGCAAGCACAGAAGTGGGTATCCCTGTAGTCATTCTTTTTAGCCTATCCAATACTACTTCCGACTTGCCTTTCAGCTACCAGCTCCGCGATGAAGCCTTCCCAGCCAGGTAGCTTAAGGGCACAGAAGAACCCACACAAGGCAACCTAAGAATGGAGCAACTTCTGCTGTGTTACTTCTTGGGTCCATGGCCTTAGGGTACAAAATACGGGGGGACTATGGAAAACTATCGCAATTTCTACAAATGAGAGAGGACTTCCAATGAGCAATTCTGTATATTTCAGAAAGTAAACTGGGGGGGGGGGGGGGGATCCTTTCCTGGAATGGCCTAATTGAGATATTTCGTGGACAAAGCCACATTTGGAGTGTTCAGGAGAAAAAAAAAAATCCAAGGCCAAGGGGGTGTGGGAAAGGCTCTCACCTTGGCAGAGCTTGTCTCCTCGAGCAGGCTGGTGTCCTGCCTGGCAGCGGCAACCTCCCACAGCGACCATCCACCTGCCTTCGCCATTGCAGTGTAGCCGTGGGGGGCTGCCCCCGGCCTGGCCTCCTACTCCATCCTCCTCTGGTTCTGCATGAGCTACACAGGTGCCCATAGCTGCCACCAGGGAGGCACCTCCTGCTCCACTGGCCTGAGTCTCGGGAAAGGAGGCAAAGGCACGCAGGACAGAGGGACAGGTGTAGGAGAAGAGCTTGACTGCTACAAGGGCCAGGCAGGCCCCTGTGTCCTGGAAGGCCACATAGAAGCCCCGCTGAGTGAGAGGGCCAAAGCTGCGCTCTTTCACATTGAGCTGAAGTCCCGCCCGCTGACCAGTCCTGTGGGGTCCCACGGCCCATGAGGAAGAGGAGGAAGAGGAGGAGGCCGGGAAGCTCTCATCTGCTGCAATTGTGTCCACTTTGGTCCAGCGTTTGAGGTGCCAGGCCGAAATGTTGTCGGGGCTGTCAGGCTCCTCGGCCTGCCGGTAGTAAAGAGTGAAGGTCTCCCGGCAGGTGCCCCCACTGACACCCAGGCTGGAGCAGGCTCGCACTGAGAAGTGAAGGCGGATGTGCGCCCTCTGGGCCCCTCGCCGTTCCACAAAGTGTGTCTGCAGCCAATTGTCCTGCCCAGCGCCTGGAGGAACCCCTGCCACGTGGCACGCTTCGAAGGTCCGAGTCAGCCGGCGCTGGTCATCTAGAACACTCACCTCGTCCCACTGCAAGGGGACCAGGGAAAACAATAACTGCCCAGTTTGCAGAGGGAGACGACAGTGGGATATTGCAGGGCTGTATGTGTTCCAGCAAAGCACTGAAATCCTGTTCCCCACAGAGTTTGGGGAGTCTGATCCCACAGCTTGTATCCAGGGTTCCCTCCCTCAACTCCACGTTCTAGGGAACAGTGAGGGCCAGAGGATGGGTTCAGAACCAAGGGTGGCACTCACCCCACCTGGCGGGTAGGTGAGCCAGCCAATCTCAGAGGTCTCTCCTGTGGTGTCCAGCAGCACTTCTGTTCAGACACAATGGGGATGGGCACATTGTGTAAAGCCTCCAGCTGGCCAGGCTACTCCCTCTCCATGGAAAACCAAATACTGTCCTTCCCGGATCCACTTAATTTGCCAGCAGGAGCTTAGTATCTGTGAGGATCATGAGTCTAAAATACTTGATACAAGTTCTGTTCACCCTCACCATACGCTCCCTTAACATCTTACTCTTTTTCTCCACCACCCCCCCACTCAACTCTGCTGGCCCACAGGGCTCTCCCGCGCCCCCTCCTTCCTACCTTCCAGAGCCAGAACCGAGGGCCCCAGAACTAGGACCCACAGACTGCACACCATGCCCGCCACTCTGCTCCCCGACCCGGCAGTGTCCTCAGTAGCCATGGGGTGTCTTCAGCACTCCCACCATTGCCTCGGCTGCCACCCCACTCTGAGGTGTGGCTGCAGCTTTTGCAAGACCCTGGGTCTGCAGCCAAGCTTGCTTCCTAGGGAGAACACGGGAGGAAAAGAGGCAGAAAGCAGAAGTTGTTTTCATACAAGGTATAGGTGCCCATACTTCACCTAACACCTGCTCTACAGCCCTCAAAGAGTCCCTGAACCAACTGTGGGCAGAAGCTAGGAAGCACTGACTCAGCTGAGTCTGCCACACACATTCCATTTTCCTGTAGAGACGAATGCGCAGCCCCTCACCTCTACTCTTCCTGTGACTGTGTCTCAAGACCCTCATTCTCAGGCAGGCTGCACAGCAGAGTGCTAACCCAGTCTTACCCTTTTTGTCTGCAAAGAGTTACTCCAGTTTGTTCTCTTCATTTACTCTGCACCTTCCCCCGTCCGGCAGCCGACCTGCATGGTAGTTAAAAAGTCTCTGCTCATTTCAAGCAGGCAGGTAAGAAGCAGTTCCTCCATATGGAGGCATGGATTCTCACTAGGCCCCAGCAACCCTGCCCTGAATGCTCTAGACCGTTTCATGGAGACAGTGAAGCAAAAGGGACAAAGAAAGATGGCTGTAGGGTATAAAGGGAGGGGAGGTGGATGAACAGATGTAAAAAGAAAGCAGGCATAAGGACTCTGAAAGATAAATGAGGCCGTGTTAGGAAAGAGCTATGTAGGTCTGGCACTCATTCTGAACAAAGGTCCTCTTCCCCAAGGGGCATGTTTTCCCTGGTAGCTTCAGAAAACGAAGCACACAGTGAGAGCATATGGAAGGATGCTTCTTATTTGCTCATAATTGAAGGAAGGCATGTTGAAGCAACAGTGGCATGCCATTTGTTACAGAGGAGATGTTTGTGCCTTTACCATGAACTCATATGTTACGCTCCTAATCCCTTGTGATGATTTTAAGAGGTGGAGCCTTTGGGAGGTAATTATTAAGGAGGATTTACACAAATGGATTAGTGTTCTCAGAAGAGACTCCCCCCAAAGGATTCTCTCCACGTTGTGAAGTCACACTGAGTAGAGGACAGTCTGCAACAAAGAAGGTGGTCCTCAACACAATCCAGCCATGTTGGTACCCTGATCTCTGAACCTCCTCTGAATGGTGAGGAATGCACTTGTATTGCTAATTAGCTGTCGTTGCCCAGCTGATGGACCTTTATTGCTTAGGCTGAGATGAATAAAGCATTGCTTTAATCTATGAGATTGACGGCACAAAGTCGGACAAGATATGGTAAGGGTCTGTTCTCTATATTGTGCTGGTGATTTCATATTGTATATGGCATGTGGAAAATAACTGGCAATATCTGCCTAGTAACTTGGCATCTAGAAGTCCTTCGGGTATCATGAACTTGCATGTCCTCGTTTAAACAGGGCTGTTCATGAGACCGGGGGTAGGGTGATGCTGGGGATTGAATCCAGCTCTATCACCAAGCTTTGTCCTTAGCCACTACGAATTGTTGGTAAGGGAATAGACAGTAAAGTGACTGAACATCCATAGGAAGATGGTTGAGAAATTAACAGAAACACATCCTAAGCAACAAATATGAGCTGTTATGTAATAATGTGGAAATGATATCCAGGTGAAAGCAGTATGTGCAGAGTGGTATAAAGTACCATTCTGGGTTAGCTCAGTGGTAGAGCATTTGCCTAGCATATGCGAGGCCCTGGGTTCAATCCCAGCACTAGAAATAAAAAGCAAATAGATACACATGCATATGGAAAAATATTATGGGATGATACATAAAATTTGGTAAGAAAGAAAGTGAAAGAGACTGGGAAGATACTTTTATTGTCTTCTTAATTTTTATAGTAAAATAATCTCTTATAAGTATTACTTATCTTTTGAACTTAATGATGAATTAAGGTTTGCTTTTACAACTGTTGCTAATACCTGTTTAATAAAATGAATCAAGAGAGAGCTTATTCCCTTTGAGTGATTTCCAGGCTCTACCTAATATCCACGCCCCCTACAGGGAACTTGTGTAGCCATTAGGTACAGTTCTATGCTCAATAGTCTGCCAAGAGATGGCTGCTTCCAGGGCCATGGAGAAGAGCTCCACTGGTGGTGGCGCTCTTATTTTTCTCTGTAACTTGGTCTCATGAGGCACATGAAAAAGACTAGCATGATTCATTCATTTCTGTTGGGGGAAAAATGAACGGCATGTTGCTTACAATACTGAGAGAACTTAGAGGGAAGAAACCAAGCAAGCAAGCAAACAAACAAACAGCAAAACCCAAAGCCAACTGGAAGGGCAGCCTCATCCTGGCTGCATGTGGCCTGGTCATCCAATGACAGAAAAAGACATGTTTCCCAATGAATCCGAAGTTAAACTGAAACTACACTTGACTGTGGTTAACAGAAACACATAAGTTAATTCCTGCTCATCTGAGTGTCTTTTCTGGCAAAGGTGTTACGCGTGTGATAAGATAAAGCCTTTAGTGTCATTCCATGAAGCCATCCTAGAGGGACACTTTTTGTACACACCTGACAGCTGATGAGTAGCAATCAAGTAGGCAGAGAATTCTTCCCCTTATTACCACTAATGTCCTGTGTGTGTAATAGACAGTTTGCAAGGAGCATAGATTCTCTGAAAACATTGCTTTAAGTGATGTCAGGATCTCTCACAGATCAAGCAAATGCCCTAGAGAAGAACTTCAGAGCTTATGTAGCTGTCTTAAGTTTTGTAATGCTGGCTCCAGCATCAATATCTGCTTCGTGAACACCATGAAGTAATACACATTGGATGTGGAACCCCCCTCCCCCCAAATCCTAGAGCTTGTCAGAAGAGCCTAGGTTCCATCCAGAGCCACTGTGTTTGGGTACATAGTTATCAAGAGCAGAAGGTGCCAGAGGCTGGCTTTTAAACAGTGAAGGCGATTCCACTACGTGCCTAGAAGATACTCCTCAAAATAGTCTCCTTCAGACAGAACATGAGTGGGTTCTGATTCTGTACAAAGAAGAAACAGTCAAGACTGAGCCTTCTTACACTTACAACTGGACAGTCAGAGAGAAGGGTTAATTAATATTTTGTTGATATTGTTAATAGAACTATTTGTTTGAAAGAGAAAAGCAAGACAGAAAAAAGTAACATAGCATCAGTTGTGCAATATGGAACATTCTAGAAGATGAAGAATGATAAACTAATTGCTTGGATAAGGCGTACTAGTGTAGAGCCTTAGTGTGCATCTTGATGACAACCTGTAGCTGGCCTATATCCAGATGATCCAGAAAATAGCAAAAGCAATGGTGAAATATGTTAAAGCCACACAACTCCCTTCATCAGGAATCCAAGAGAATAAAATGTAGACAGCGAATGTAGATTGCTATTTGAGTGCTTGCTTTTTTTCTTGTTTTTTTTTTTAAATTTTACTAAGAGCAAAGACATTCTCTTTTTAAAAAATGCTTGACAATCTTACAGTATTCAGCAGTATATTCTGATGCTTGAAGTGAATCTTCAGATTCATACCCAGAATATTAAAGATTAAAAATGAGTGTATTCAGGGGGGAAAATGTTGCTGAGTCAGAGTAAGAAGTTAGATCAATTCTTGCTAATCCAACCAACCAAGTCTCCTCCTATTTATACATAAGATTCAGCGTCTCTCTACTGTCAGAATAAAAACAAAGAAAGGAAACGTTGAGATACGGAGTAATTGCTGTCAACGATGTCATACCTCTGCGGATTCTTCTGAAGCCAGTTCCAAAGGTAAAACAACAAGAGACAAGACAGGAGTGTTCCTCTGTGTCTGGAATACTAAGGAGGCAGGGCTCAGCACTGACTTTCAAAGGTTGCTTTGCAGCTTGTAGCCACAACATCCCCCTCATTTGGTACAGGAGGAGTATCTTGGGCACAGCCGAGCATCTTGTAGCCAAAGGGGAAGAAATCAGCCTTGAGCCTCTTCAAGGTCCTCCCACCTAGCCTGTCTGAGATCCCTATTTCTGCTGCAGCTCAAGAAAGAAACTGGCCAGGGTTTGGAAGTTCTCATACTTCAGCAAGGGCAATAAACTGACCTCAATCAGGAAAACATTCATATTTAAGATGTACGTGAAGTTTCAAAAATACCTGAAGTAGCAAAAATGTGGAAGTAAACGATAAGCTCAGAAAAAGACCATCAGGACAGCTAGTTCCTTGCATTTTTCTTTTCCTCAGCCCCTTTTCAGGGTCTCTCACTTTCCTTCCTTTTGATGTGATGGATACACTAGATCACAAGCCTGGTAAATTTGCTTTATTTTATAAAAAAAAATAATAAGGCAGGGTCTTAGGCATTGAGGCTGTATCTGTTTTTATAAACTGGCAAAAATCTAGAGATGTGTAGCATTTTAGCTCATCAGATACAGATTGCAAATTCTGTTCTCTATGAGAATGAAAGATTGGAAATTAAACCAGCAAATCTGTAGGAGCTTTAAAAATTATCTATGCTTAAATGAAATGCTAAATATGATAGCTACGCGAACAAACCCAGATCATTTGATGGTTGATGCACCTCAGTCTACATTAAAAAAATATGCAAGAGAAGCCAGCTTAAAGCAAGGTATGACGAAGATACACTGGTCATTAAAACCGGCTACTGTAGGGGGATGCTAGGGATGGAGGACTCTAAGTGGGGATGATTAACTCTTACGCATGTCTGAATTATTTTGTTCTTATTATAATAATCACACCTTACTTTCATAGTTAAAACCTAAACAAAGCTAGGATATATGAAAGGATACTTTTGAAACTGGACACATAGAGCATATGTTTATATGTTTAATCTCATTTCCCTTTTTTACCTGTCAGTTTTCAGAACATCTAGGAATCTTTAACTGTGAGACACAAGGGACAAAGCTGGGAGTGAAGGACAGAAGGGGTCGGCAGCTAAGGCGAAGCAACTTTTATTCTTGGGCGTTCTTTAAGCTTCCCTCCCAAGAAGTTCAAGTTGACAGCATGCTTCTCCGTCAACATGCTGGG